GTGGTGGAATAATTGGCTGAACAAGTTTTGATTTGGATAAATTGAGATCCGTATTCTACCTGCCATTTCCTAGCTGTCATTGTAGCTGAATCTCTACGAATAACATCCGGAAATTTACAGTTCTTCTGTTTTTCAAAAGGGCTCGTCTGATTTGTACCTTTCTGAATCAAATTAGTTTCACAAAAGCGTATCCAACATTGTTCACATCTAACAAAAGTCTTTTTTTGTGGAGAAAAATCAGTTTTTTAACGACCTTCGGCTATTTTTACCTTTCAAAATCTGAAAAATATGAAAATTGTAATGAAGAACTTCTATACAAGTGTATAAAGGGCAAACTTTTTAGTTTACTTCGATAAGTTTCTGCGTAAATCCAAAGTATTTTCACGTAGAAAAATGTTTTATTTTTCAGTAACTTGTAATATTCGATAATATTTCTTATCGAAAAAATAGCAAATCTATCATATAATACTTATCTCAATTATTATACTAATTATTTCCATTTCTCAACTTCTTCCACAGATGACAAAGGGGTTATGAAATATGAATGATGTCAATTTTGTTGATTGATTCCTGCAACATTTGATGTAGTACAAGGTGTTCTCTGATATCAGTCTGTTGCTATTTCGTCACCATCCTAATTACATACATAAACTTTTCTCCCGAGTCATTACGTCCGTTGGTGAAAATCGTATAAAAATCCATTCGATGATACTAGACCCCAAAAGCGTTGCATATATGGCTCATGGGTGAAAATTTGAACTCTCTTGCTGTTGAAGTGTAACAAAAACGGGTATATTGAAAATGGTCCATTGCAAGGACAAACTTCGACATCGACATCCGAGTGAAAATCAGTTTTCACCTCTCTCTGCATCTTTCACTGTAAGCAGGCAATTAGATGATACCAGAGCCTGTGAACTAGCTAGTACAACAGATGAGATCTACAGCAGTTCGCTATTTTGCTGTCTAGAATGTCATCAGGAATGGAACTCTTTTGAGCTTTGATATCATATAATTGGCAGGATTCCCATTTGTTTGTTACAAGAACTACTCGCTTTTGTCTTTTTTGTTACCTATTATATAAATGAAACACTGGTGATTTAATCTCCATTAATGTATTTTTTCTATATCAACTAGGTAGGTACACATAGTATTTTATAGGATACTTTCCAATATCACATTTAATTTTTATACAAGAATGAATGTTACAGTGACTAAGTATACAAATTTCTAAAAGATTTCAAGAGTAGTTTCAAGAGTACAAAAAGTATATAATGACTAGTTCGTATAGAGACAGTATCGGTTTCATATTCACATATGAATATGCAAGAGCGACTTGAGTATTCTTACTTATATACAATTGCTGTTATGTTACCTTTTGAGAGAGTAATTTTTTGTGCATAAAAGTGAACCAAAAATGAATTCATCAAGATATTTCGTTCCTCTTTTTTTCTCAGTAATATTCGGTTGAAATTTATTTGAAATTCTTAAAACGTAAATAACAACAATGTGCTTATACCTCCAAACAATTTTCGTACTTTAGTAAGATCTTCGCTTACAGGTGGTGATTCCAGATAGAACATTTAATTTTAAAAAAATTTTCCTAACGGGTTTTATTTACGGATCAAGTTCTCTAACAAAACTTATTGGATTGATTTTACTTCACATTCGCATCTATGCATATGTTACATATGCTTCGGGATTCATTTCAAATGCTGCACATGAACCAAAAAAGGATCAACCAGATGTTTCTGATGAATCTAATTAGTTCGGACTTTCATCATCAAAATCCCCATATTGAAAATTAAAAAGGAAAGCTGAAAGTAACAATTATATTGAGCAATAAAAACTCACTTTGACCCCACCATCTATACAAGTTCTCTTATACTGCAGGCCGGTTCCGTAAGGCAAGGGTTTGCCACCGATAGCCCCTTTGTGACGTTCGGCTCTGTCTTTGCACAGTCCATAGCGCCCCATCAGAATGAAGAAGTCTCTTCGGTACTGCTGGGTCAAGAGTGCATAGAGGCAAGGGTTGGCACAACTGTTGAGAGGATAGAAGAATACCAAAAGAATTTTAGATTGAGTCACGGTGATGAGTGGATAACCAAGGAGAGCGGTGAGTCCAAAAAATGCGATTGGTGACCAACATGCGAAATCAGTGAATACTAGGAGAGCCATGCGCTTGGCTACTGTCAGATCACTGCGGACAGATGTTGCGAAACCTGTACGGCCCCCTGAAAAATAATACAGTGATTCAGTTAGAGGTAAAACGTGAATCAGTTCATAGAAATGAAAAAACGTGACAATATTTTCACAATGGAAATAATTCAATTTGCGTAAATTGATATTTCACGTGAATAATGCGAATGAATATAATACATTCATAAGAAATCCGATTGAAACATTTAAGCAATTGAAAAATTTTATAGTTTTCTATTCAACGGTGAACTGGGATAGTTAGTAAAAACAAAAAAAAATTAAAATCAAGTTAAATCATTCACGTTGAAGTAAAATCAGAAGAAAATTATGACGTCATTGAAACTACCAAACTATCCCAGACATGTGGATGTGATACAATAAGAAAAAGAATTGCGGAAAGTTCCATAATAGCAGTTCAATAGATATCTAAGGTCGCTTGAGGACCTCCTCGCAGCAATTGACTCTGACCTTGAATGGTGTCGTATGACCTTGAGTTAAGTGTCAGACGATTTGACCTTGAACATGGGCGTTGACCTTGAGATTCAAGGTCAACGCCAAGGTCAAGATTCGGTATGTAACCTTGAAGTCTTACCTTGAAAGATACCTCACAACCTTGATCTATACGCGTTCAATATGACATTGAAACATGTGGTTTGACCTTGAGATTCAATCTTGCAGATATGTGACCTTGAGTTTAGACCATCATACGATCTCGACCTTATCCATTCTGCCCTCGACACATGTTCTTAGACTTGTGCTTTGCCTCAAGATCAACTTTGAGCTATGTGTTGGCTATATGACCGTAAACATGAAATTTGATCTCGAAAATCCAGACTATCTCTGATAAGGGATAGTCTGGATTTTCTGACCTCAATACAAGTGCATGTCATATGACTTTGAACATGTATTTCAAAATACAACTCCGTCATTTTTATCCAGTCGGAGTGGAGGGGTGGGGAAATGTTCAAAATATATATGTACAATGAATGTGGGAAAAGTTTCCCACGTAGTGACAACCTGCGTCGTCATCAGTGCGATTTCTGTACGTTGGTGAATTATGGAGGATTATCAACCGAGAATGATGAAGAAGCATCAACTTTGAAGAGGCTAAGGTTAAATTCACAAAAGCTTGGGCAATGCAGACATGCCAGTGCTGCAATTTGACAGTTTCAAGTGATCAGATGAAAGTACATCGGATAACTTTGCAGCATAAAACGAATGTGCGAGAGTCTGTGAAATTTCGTCATACCCCCACTTCCCAATCCTATTGAATGTAGCAGGTATGGATTTGCCAGTTGAGTTAAAAGATATCCCTAAATTTGAGGTCATGAATGATTGCTCTATCAATGTTTATGGGTTGGAAAACATTTTCGAAAATGGCAAAATCGAATATGAAGTTGTAGGCCTATTACACTATTCAAAATCTAGGCTTAACAGTCACGTGAATTCAGTGTCACTGTTTTTCGAGTTTGAAAGCCGTAGATTTTTGGAATTTCTTCCTGACGTTTGGTTGGCGCGAGTGGCTAGCTTCTTCAGAGGTTTAACCATCATGGATTGCTGTCCGATGAGTAACTTTTATTCTTTCATGTTTCCAGATGACGAAGGTGTCATCCACGTAACGTAGCCACAACGTCGGCTTCAATTCCAAAGTGTCTATCGCTTTCCCTTCAAACCGTTCCATGAAATAATTTGCTATCTCTGGGCTAAGTGGACTCCCCATCGCAACGCCATCTAGTTGCTCATGGGGAGTTCACTTACTAATAAAATGTTCAGTGTCTAACCATACACTTCAGACTATTTATCATTTGTGTCAATAATATTTCTTTGAGAAGGATTTTTTTCTCCATCGAAACGTTCACTGTTGAAGTAACAACAACAATAATGAAGGTATCTAACCGGCGAAAGTTTGTCAGTGGTCTGTCACATGCCCCACATGTGAAGTCTCTATTTCGGCTGCATCATTGGCTAATGTGTAAAATCTCAACCCTTCGATTGGAGCTGATACTTCATGTTAATACTCATATATTTAGGTTAGGAATCACACGTTAAAAGGTAAGACCTCGTTAATCCTTAGCTCGACTTTTGAGGGTTGTAGTTCGTTGGGGAGCGACAGCTGGTAAACGGAAAAACAGATTTTAAAACAGTATTTCTTTTTTGCTGAAGAGACAAATAACATTTGTCTTACTACAGTTAGAAGGTCCATTCATCAGACCGCGAATGGATAGTGAAAGTGAAGATTCATGACGCTGTTTGACATCGCTTCCCGATCCAACACCAACTTTTTATCGAAATTATCGATGGAAAATTGCTGCTTCTGATTCGGTATGCGCATTGTATGACAGTTGGAGACTACATAAGCAGGGTTTCATATCCATTCCTTCATTCAAATGGGGTTCATGAGCCGATGCGAATCACTAAATTCTATTCAAAGGATTGGTCAATTCCCTCATTGATAATCTACCTTTCGAATTAAACTTACTTGGCTATCAGTATTGTGGTCCTGGTTCCAAATTGCAGAAAATATTGGCGAAAGGTAGTCCGGGTGTCAATCAACTAAATTTTGCATGCAAAAAACACTATATTGCATATTCACAGAATTCCGCTAATCTTGCAGCTAGACACATAGCGGATCAGGAGCTAGCAGGAAGTGCTTGGAAACGATTCAAAGCAAAACACGCTTCTTTTGGAAAAAAAGGAACTGCTTGGCTAATTACGAATATAATGGAGGGAAAACGCCGATTCGGTATGGGTTGTGAGTCATCATCAAAGCAGTCACGCATATAGAAGAAAAAGCGTACTATCAAAAAATCAAGCTGGAAAAATATTGAAAGGTTCCAAAGTTATAGCTTTTAGTTCTGGAATCGTTAAGAAAGTGCGTGATGTTCTACACGAAACGGAAGGAAGATAATTTGTTGTCAAAAATTTTAAAAAAGCAGCTGAGATTTCACTAAGAGCGGCATGCAAATATACGAGGGCTGCAGGTGGGATAAAAAAAATTTGCACACCGCGAATCATAACGATTCCTAAAATTGGTGGAATACTACCACTTTGGAGCCTTAGCGTGGAGTAAGATCAAGACTATCTATTTCAAACCTCAAAATTCAAAAAAACTCATAAATTTGCTACCCCAAAGAGCTCTCTCCAACATCGATCTCAACTATCACGCTAAGAAAATGATGATTCTATATTTTTTACGTCACTTTCGTGTAATATTTTGACAGTTTTGATGATTTACCTCCTCCCAAACAATTGATTTACTATTTTCATAAAGGTTCAAATCCTATCAATATTATCACATATAACTATGACCTTAAACAACAATTCAACACGGTGTGGTGTGTCCATTTGTAATTGAAGTTTCTTCAGAACAAGACATGGAAATAACACAAATGGAGGACAGGAAGAACATCAAGAGGATGAGTTTTTCATTGATCACATATTCCAGTGTACGCACTTTACGAAAAATGAGTGAAGAACAACTTGCACATATTGCCTGAAGAGTTTTTGATTGGGTATGCATTACATGAAATTATATCTGAATAAGATGAGTTAAGACAAAATCTACAAAATTATATTGACGTCTTGAAGTATGAGTACTGCCAAGACTATCATAATGATTCCACCGGCAACAGTAGTTTTTCCGATGTGAATGACGGCCCACCTACGCGAAAAATTTTCTGTTGTTATTGTGAGGTGAATGATGTGAAAATAGTCACACATAATGAGATGGATAGACCACACAAAGCGACGTTTACACCAACATTTCTGCTGCCACAGACAGCGATCAGTTACACTGTCATCATACAGTGCGTACGGAGCAAGATATCAAGATCAGACAGTATTTACAAAAGATATCATTTAGATATCATAGGTTATTTTAAAAGTTTTTTCCGTTTGTATTGGTACACTTCAAACTGTAATATAAATGTGATTACTTATTCAATGCAATCGAAATATGCGCTATTTGAATCAGGATCGTTTTGGTTGCGCAAGAGCAAAGAAAAACATGCTATAAACATGTGGTCACCCACTTTTTGACCTTTTCGACCTTTTCAATACGTTTCAAACCATCAAAAACCGTATGAGAGCCACCATTCCACACACTGTTTGTGGTGGTCAGTCCTCACCAGGGTTATCAAATCCTTGTCCTGGATAACTGTAGGTCGATCACTTTGGAGCTCGTCTTCAAGACTAAACGTGTTTTAGTTCAATGAATAAGTTTGGAAATATCCTTATAGGACGAAACTGCAGTAACGTTAGTTGCAAATAAAAGTGAGGAAAACATAGAAATCAATATATTTAATTTATTATTGTCAGAAAGTGAATGATAAACATTCCGAATATTCATTGGAATGAGCTGGAATGAGTTTTAAATAATATTTTTCTTGAAAATTATATTTGTAGTTTGATTGCAGATTCTTAAAAGGAATATAACACTAATAATTACTTGGGACGATTTATTCGATTTCCAACAGAAAAGGTATTGGATTGAGCATTAAAATTCTTATGAAACTAGTTATTACAAGACCTCACTTTCTATTTGGAAAAAAAAGTTGGTAGCACCCACTCGGCGACTACAGATATTACACTATTGAATTTCTCATCGAAAAACACTAAAAATGATACTTTTTTTACTCAAAATGCGACCCGACTTCGATGTCTCATTGCGTTCAAAAGTTAACAATACGCGCTGCATATATTGATAACAAAAAAAGATTCAGATTAGATTATTTCTGTTTATGTACATTTTCCATCGGTTGCAATCAAAATTGGTACTAAGTAGAAATGAAAATTTTCACAATGAATTTTATGTAGGTAACTTCAACACGATAGATTTATCAGTTCTACCAGTCCATATGATGAAGCTACCGTGTAGCAAAACGTCTCCCAAATAAAATTTATTGTGAAAATTCAGTATTTATATTACAATGTGTTATTGATTCTCATCGTGTAACTTGTTAGTATTCATAAATATGTAATTTTAATTTTCCTTCCTTTCTTAGGAATATTCCCTCATCTTTTTTTGTATCGAGAT